TTGCATGTGGATTTGGCACTCTTTAAAATAGACATGGAGAGTTGGAGAGCCTAGAAAAGTGAAAGTAAAGCACAAAAGGGAACGGGTTCTGTCGCACAGCTGCTTGCCCTGGAGAGCCGTACCAAACCCAGAGAACCTAACACTGCTTTTCTGAATTTGTAAGGAACACAACCTTGTGTGTTTTAAGAAAAACAAACACTGTTCAGCAGCTCTTTTACCATCAGTTATTTATTGTATGTGGATTATTATTTTTTGGCTTATTATTTGATAGAGTAAAAGGTGGAAAAAATGCTGGATATCTTTGAAAAACATACACGTATATGCCCACCCCATACTCTTACTGTTCTCCATTCAAAGTGTTTAGGAAGAGGTTGTGGGGGAATTCAGGTCTCAGGGAAGGGCTGGCTCAAATGATCTTTGCTGGTCTTTGTATCCTGAGATCTGTGAACTAGCTTCAGTGAGACTGGGGAAGGTGGGAGTGTCCTCATTACCGCATTCAAGTTTGCTAAGAACTTTTTTTAAAATATTTTTTAAAAATTTTATTTACGTATTTATTTTTGGCTGCGTTGGGTCTTCATTGCTGCACGCGGGCTTTCTCTAGTTGTGGCAAGCGGGGGCTGCTCTTCGTTGCGGAGCACAGGCACTAGGTTGGTGGGCTTCAGTAGTTGTGGCACATGGGCTCAGTAGTTGTGGCTCGCGGGCTCTAGAGCGCAGGCTCAGTATTTGTGGCGCGTGGGCTTAGTTGCTCCACGGCATGTGGGATCTTCCCGGACCAGGGCTCAAACCTGCGTCCCCTGAATTGGCAGGCGGATTCTTAACCACTGCACCACCAGGGAAGCCCTGCTAAGAACTTTTCTGAAGAGGAAATGTTCAACGTCCTTGCTGCCTGTGTGACACAGCATTATAGGGAGCAACGAAAGACACAGCCAGCACCTACCACAGGCGTGGAGCCAGGAGGTGCTGAGTAAATACTCGGAAACCAAAAGAATGTGAAGAATGTGTGTGAGCGCCAGCCCTAGGTTTTCCAGATATTGGTTGGTTAAGAACCCGGGGCTGACAGTGGTGCTGGGAAGAATTGGAGAAATATAGGAAAATAAAAGGAGTCACTTTTTTCAAAGAGCCATGGGGAATATTTCCCTTTGAGAAACTCCAAGAGAAAAGCTCTTTATTCTGTCTGGGAGTGTCCTTGGGGTAGAGGGCCATTTGACTTTCTGATAAATATCCTTTCAAGTTGTCTGAGAATATCAGTAATCACTCATTAGTCATTTTACTAATTTATTTTATTGGATTTTTAAATTAAAAAGGTAATACATATTGTCACAATAAGTTGAATTAAACAGGTGTATTTTAAAAGATTTATTACCTTCCCCTCACCCATGTCCAGTGTCACTCCCATAGAAAACAAATATTAAGGATTTGGAGTGAACCCTTCTGTGCCTTTTTTTTTTTTATATACAAATTTACATACATGTATATAGCTGTTTTGGTTTATTTTTATTGATTTAAAACTAAACAGTGGAATTGCATTATACACATTACTTTATAACTTGTTTTTTTCACTTAATAGAATATTATGTCTTTTTAACAGTTGCCCAATAGTCTATAGAATTGATATACCAGAATTTATTCAATCAATCCCTACTGATGGACATTCAGGTGTTTCCATCTTTCTTTTCTTTCTCTTTGTTTTTATTGACATAATACTGCATTCGGCATCCATGCTCATCTATCTTTACATACTGATGATTTTATTTTAGTAGAATAGAGTACTAAAAGTGGAGTCCTGAGCCAACAGATAACTGAATTTAAAATTTCACTAGATAACATCAGATTACTTTCCTAAAAAGCTTATAGCAATTTATACTTCCACTAGCCATGTAGTATAATGCCTGACCCTCCACACTGGATGGTATTAGACTTTTTTACCAGTCTGATAGGTGACATTATCTGATTGTTGAGTACACTTTGAAAGAAACCCTGCAGTTTTAAAAAAATTATTTCACAAAGTTTACATCTTCAGTATAGGCATTTATGTTAACATGGGCATCTCTCTCTCTCTCTCTCTCTCTCTCTCTCTCTCTCTCTCTCACACACACACACACACACACACACACACACACACACACACATATTACACATAGCCTGTTTCTACTGCTGACTTTTTTCATTCTTTTTGGCTGGTAGCACATTGAGTGGGTCAGCTGGTGGAGAATCTCGGAACAAGCAAGGATTGGCAAAACCAGATAAATGGAGAACTCAACTGTAAATTTTCCCTCTTTGTTTCACTCTTTTTATCAGGGGCAGGATATGAGGATGGGCATGTGAGCTCGCAGCCCTTGCTTATCAAAAAGCACACCCTTTCTTCACTGTGTGATGGAGGGATCTCTTCTTCGTGACAACCCATTATCTTTGAGTGACAACACCTGTCTCCTCAAAATTCTTGAGACTCCAGAAAGAATTACAGAAAAATATTCTGTAACAGGTAGTGGGAAGCTATTAATTCCCAGGCCAGGCTGTCAGCTCATCAGGAGAGAGGCAGAGTCCAGTCATGGTGAAGGGAATGGAGTCTGGAGACTGCTTGTGTCTGAATCCTGGCTCAGCCACTATATAGTTACGTGACCTTAGGCAAGTTAATTAACCTCTCTGTTGCTTCAGTTTTCCTATTACAGATGGAGATATTAATAGCTCCTGCCTCATAGGATTGTTGCCAGGACTAGGGATGGGAATTAATATAATTCAACAATAAATAAAGCACTTCAAGTAGTGCCTGGTACATAGTAAGGCCTATATACATGTGTGCTATTATTAATTTTTATTATTGCAGACTGAAGGGGTTCTAATGTCACACAGTCATGAAGGGGGCAGCTCTCCTGGAAGAAAGGTAAAGAAACAGGCTGTAGAGAGAATGGCTACAAAAGAAGTAGAGACAGTCATATATTGTGTAGATCCCATGGACATTGTGACTAGATTCTTACTTTCTGGGAATGGACCTGATTGAAGCAAACAGGGTTGTCCCCAGGGCCTGCTGTGAAGTGACCACAATTCATCTTTGATATTCCCTGCCCCCAATAGCCCCTTGCTGCTGCTTCTGCGTCTTTATCTAATTTTTGGTTACCAGCAATACCTGGTGAGGCGTTTTGTAACTGCTTCCCTGAGGGAGAAAATAAGGGAAAGTTTTGCGTGCATCTGCCCAAAAAGGAGCAATGATATTGGCTTCTTAGCTTCCGAGCGCGTACAGAAAGTCTTCGAGTTGGGGGCAATCAGAATGGACTCATATGAATGTGAGTTGAACTGTTTTGATCTGAGAAGACTGAAAATGGTGACCTGGAACCAATACAAATCCACTGGTTTACAGGATCCATGAAGCGGGGGGATTTGCCTTATTATGTTTTGTAATGGATGTATTTAAGCAGAACAGCAATCAAGTTTTGAAAAATTTTAGTGGGAAAATGCTTATAATGTTACAGGAAGTGACAGGTAATGATAATAATGACAATAAATAAATAGAAAAAAATACTGAAAGAAATCACACCAAAATGTTAATTGTGATTACCTTGGATTGGTGAGATTATAGGTGCTTTTGTTTTCTTCTTTATATATATATATATGTATTATGTATATTTATACCATTTCTATATACAGACTTCTAATTTTCCAAAATGAGCATATATTATTTTCTCTGGTAGAAAATAAAATAGAGTAGTTACAGGCTATAACCACTAGAGCTGTTGATATAGAAACAGCCTAAATGGCTATAATAGGGGATTGGAAAAAACAAAATGAAACTGTGGTACATCTGTATAATGAAGTACTATGCAATTATCAAGGTGGTCATGGAGTGAAATTAAAAGGTTTACATTATATGTTGCTAAGTGAAGAAAGTAGCATAGGAAACAGAATATAGTAAATGCTATATAGCAAATGTAAATATATGTAAATGCATATATAAATATGTAATTTTCAGGAAGAGTTTAAATGAAAATGTTATGGCAAATGGGATTATTGGTAATTCTTTTATTTTTTGCTTATCTGTATTTTCTAATTTCCTGCAATAAAACATGGACTACCTACACAACAAGTGAATGTTTATATAACTTTAAAAAAAATAAACATCCAGAGAATATTCTTAGGGCAATAAAGTCCTATAAGAGACAGTGACAAATTATATACTTATGAGGAGTGTTGCCATCTGGTGGATCAAAAGCAAAAACTCACCCTCTTTCTACATTTTTCATTTGGAATTAGGAAATGAAAGCCACATACCGTGCCGTATTTCAGATGAATGCCTGGACAATTTTAGCAACTTAACGAAAATGTTCCTTTGATTCACAGGAAAAAGAAGTAGACCAACGACCAAGCCCAACGAACCCAATCGTGGGTGCACTGTTGAATTTTATTTAAAAAATAAAAAAATCTCTGTTTTACGAAATATGTTTACAGGCATGCTCGTCCATAAAGACAATTCTGAGTTACCTGTTTTATGGATGATTCAGGGCAAAATTTCCATCCTAACCTAATTTTTTCCAACTAGTTGGCGTACTGACCAGCCCATAATGACACTACAAATATTTGTGGAATGAAGGATCACTTCTGGCTGACTTAATCCAACTAACAGTTGGTGTGTTTTCATGGGCTATAAATTAATTTAGATATGAACCAGTCGAAGCACTAGTTCTCTTGATATGCAAACATAAAATGATAAAATACTTCACAAAGCCAAATGATGGTAGTTTAGCCGCCATTCTGGATAAGCTACCTCCTCACTTCTCACCACCATCAGACTCACTCGGAAATTTCATTCAGCCCATTCACTGAATTTAACTCTTCCCACTCACCTTTCTCCTTCTGTGTATAAAAATCTAAACATTTTGACAGTGCCTCTGTGGAAAAACATGGTTAATGCCTACTCTACCCCATCCTTCTAAGTTTCCCAGAAAGCCAAGTGGCTGGTAGATTGTTGCCTTTGAGAACTAACCCTCGCTTTCCTCACCACCCTGCAGGTGAGCTGATCAATCTTGCCATGTACTGTGAGAGGATAAGGAGGAAATTCTGGCCTGAGTGGCACCATGATGATGACAACACCATCTATGAGTCCGAGGAGAGCTGTGAAGGCAGCAAAACGCATACGCCCCTGCTGGATTTCAGCTCTTACTCAAGGACAGAGACCTTTGAAGATGAGGGAGCAGAGAACAGTTTTTCCAGAACCCCAGACACGGATTTCACTGGACACTCGCTCTTTGATTCTGATGTGGACTTGGATGACTACACAGACCATGAACAGTGCAAGTGACATTCAGCCCTGCTGACCCTCCTCTGTTGGAGCTGCCATTCCCTGGGGTCAGTCCAGTTTCCCAGGTAGAAGTCCATCCGAGCTGGGAGGAGATCTTCGTGCTTGACACAGTTCTCACAAGCTAACTGGACTAGAGCAGCCTTATTTCTTTTTTGTACAAACAAGACACAGAACCATTCTGATGGCTCCATTTAAAACAAACAGGCAGAAGAAAAAGTCAGCATGGTTCCTGAAACCCACTTTTGTTTTCATTAGAAAACTAAGATGGTGTGGTAGAGCAGGTGCAAGAGCAGGTTGTCCACAGATGGCGTGTACATCGATCCCCTGCAACCCGAGGGCTTAGGTGCAAGATGGATTCTTGAACATCCTTCATCCAGCAGGGTTCAAAGTCAGGAGAGATGTCGTCAGAAGGAATGTAGGAGATAAATGTTCTATGGTGGCTGCTTGTTATTTCCTGTGTGTATATTGTATGTTGAGATATAAGTCAAATAAAATCCATAGATATTCAGTGAACACCTACTATGTGCAAAGCACTGTGCTAGGTGCTAGCCAGTATGAGTTTTATCCTACGCCCTGCCAGTGGCTAGCTGTGTGATTCTGGGCAAGTCCCTTAATTCTTGTGTGCCTCATTTCCCTCACCTGTAAAGTGGGGGTAACAATAGTCCCCGCCTACCTACCTCACAGGGGTGTTGTGAGGATTCATGTGGTAACATACGGCGCTTTAAACCTCTCGGAAGAGGTGTGACATAAACACATTTTATTCTTTAATGTGCTTCCGTGTGTGTGGAGATTGGAGGGCAAAGGAATTCCACATCTAGGCAACAGCGGCCACAGTCACTCGCCCAAGCGGAGCCAATGGAACACACACCAAGGCACAGTTAGGACTCTGTCATCATCCTCTTTGTGACCTTGCTTGAATCGAAATCTTTTGTTTAAAGAACCTTGGAAATGTTTCTACAGATCATCAACAGCTACAAACAGTCTTCAATTCTACTGTACGTTTGCAGAGAAGCCTTTCTTTCGTTGCCTGAACGCACACTGGAACCTTGTCCTTTGTTGATTCTGGAGTGTTAAGTTGCCTACGTTTGGTTTACTTGGGGGAATAAAGCTCAGGAATAGGATGGATTTAATAGTGGTGAAAGGGAAAGGATTTGACTGATTTTTGTAAGCAGAAGCTCGCCAACTTGTAATGTCTTTTTTGAAAACAAACCTTGCAAGATGTATTGGAAAGATGAAGTAGGAAGAGGATCATTGTAACGGGTAGCAGAGCACTTTGTGCAGTGTGGACCCTATGCAGTTTTATTAACGCAGCTTTTCTGGTGTTCTCAGCCATTGTCCAGCGAGGGGAAGGCAACGCTGAGGAAAATCTTAATGTTTCTTAAGGATTTTTCCTCCCCTCCCCGTCCTCTGTCTCCCTCCCCATAGAGCCCCTGAACTCTTGCGGTTACTGTGTTGACTGAGGCACTCCATCTCTGAAGACATAGTTTTGGTTGACTTAGAACATTTTCTAGTGAAATATGGGTTGAAGATCCTAGGGTGATGGCTGTGGATTTGGGCTTCTGACCACAACTGACTGGGGAAGGGTTATTCCTTATGGGGTTAAAGAGGAACTTCTTAAAAGACAGCGTCTTCTGGTAAGTTCACGTACTTTACTTGAAAAAGACTCTCTTTGAATATGGTTTTGACAGAATAGTCCTAAAATGCTGTGGATTCACAAAGAAGTAAAAGGGGGAGAGTTTTTGAGGTTATTTACCATTTAAGCAACAGGGTAGGGCGTATGTAACTGGGAAGAAATGCTGAAATACCCTAAGCTAGACACTTCTATTCCACAGAAAACTCAGTTGTTAATATCTTATTAAAGCCCTTCATCTTTTGAGAGGACTGTTCGCTGACTAATAAGAATGTGTTGGAGGATGTATGAATGATTAAGCCTGTTTTGTTTCCAGCATCATTTGGACTGTTCACCTCTCCTCTCTCTAGCTTAGTGTGTTGCAAGGCCAGCTGGTGGTAGTTCTGTGTGACAGGGAAGCTCCTGGCCTGAAAATGTGAATGTAGTGAACCGGTAAACTGTGGACCAATCTCCACAAAGACCGAGTTCCCCTTTCCCCACCCTCAGCTGGAAAGAGTTGTGTTTGAAATTTTGTCTACAGTTTATTCTTCCTGTATAGCACTAAGTGTGCTGTATCTTCAAGCCATGAATGATTAAGTTATGAGTGTGTAGAAGTCACAGATACTTTTTATTGTGTGTTACTTGGAGGGGAAGTCCATGGAGAGCCAACATTCAAAGTGAAGTTGTAAGACCTTCATTCATTCTTTTCAGGAGCCTCCCGCAGGGACTTGAATGGACATTGCTGGAGTCCTGGGTACTCCCTGACAGCTCATGACCGGGTATTCAGCATTTGGTATGGGTAACTTGATTAGGAACCCTAGAGTAGACCCAGGTTTTACTTTCCCAAAGTTGGTTATGGAAACAAAATGAGCAAGACAAAACCCACTGTGGAGTGGGTGACTGATGCACTCTTGATTGGGAAGGCTTTAATGTTCTGTGCTTCATTCTAAAGCTGTCCAGGTTTGAAGTGTTCTCCAAGTTGATGAACAGGTGCTACTTATAAGAAAAATAAGAAATTAGGGGATATTTTGGTCATCTGGCTTACTTGTTCAAGTTCTGTATTTCTTTTTTACTGGAAGGTAACTTAAGGAAATGTGATCTTTAATGGTAATAGATGCTTTGGGATGGACAGAAGACCCATGGGCTACCTGTTCTTTTTCTTACCTCTCACTGTAAAATTAAATTCTGCCCTTCTTTCCGCTTCCCTTTGCCTCACCCCACCCCTGTCTCCACTCATCAGGATGAAGGAGCGGCATCACGCTTTGCCCTGCATAAGCCAGAGTAGATACAAGGATGATTTAAATGTACACAGAAGTAAACGATATTGTCAGAGGTTCCCATTTCTTGTTGTAACACTCATGAGTTGTGAATAGTGACACTACCAAGGCCACATGCTACCCAGATGACTGATCACAGACTTAGAGCAACTGGACTTGAATCAGAACTGCAGTCTGGTCCTCACGTGAGCCCTGCCTGTGTGCACTGAGATATGAGGATATGTGTTTGTGAAACAACTAGGGTTCAAGGAAAGGAAGCGTTAAGGGTTATAGCCGTGGGGGTCTTGCCTAGCTTATTTGAGAGAAAGTATAGACTCATAGAAATGGATAGCTGGGCCGTGGATTCACTCTAGAAAGCCATATTTATTTGGAGGACAGGCCTGGAACGGAGGTCTTTCACCTTGCCTTTTACAGGGTTCTTCCCATTACATCACCTTGACTTGGGTTCTTTTTAAAAGCCACCTCCCCAAGAGGTCACTCCATGTTCATAGAACCAGCACATCCCTAGTCTCTCTCTGACAGTGCTTGGAATTCTCCACTCTTGTCCCCTGTATCTCTTCAGCCTGGTCTAGGCCAATTCAAAGGATCTTTCTTCAGTATCTACTCTGTGCAAGGCGCTGCTGGGCTCAGTGAATGATACCCAGAGGATGTCCAAGTCACCAAGACTCTTCATTCTCGGATTATATCTTTTAAGGAATCCATGCCCATATGGTCTCTCACTGGATATTTAGTTACTCACTGGTGAGTTGATAGCCACCTACCCTGTGCCTGGCCCCGGGATCCACACTGGATATAGATACAGTGGTGAACAGAACAGACGTGGCACCCTGGTTTTAGGGTATTCCCTTTTACCTAAGCTTCTGTGTTAGCCTCTTTTACGTGCTTAGCCACTTCCCTGATCCATTCCACTCATCACCACTAGATTAATATTTCTAAAAAGCTCTAATAGGGCACCGTATTGCTCCAGGCTGAAGTATTCCTTAGAGCCTGGTGTTCTCACCTCTTTCATCACCTTGTTTCCTCCACGTGGTCCATCCAGTGCATCCAAGCTGGTCCATTTGCCATTGCCTAGACATGCCTCATGTACCTGTGCTCATGCCAGCCCTCTCCTGAAATGCCTGCCCTTCCTCTCCACTGGCGCAAGTCGTATGCACCTCACAAGGCCCAACTTGGTCAGTTCTGCAAGAAGAGGTCTCAGCTCATTATAATCTCCCCTTCCTCTAGAAACACAGCTCCCATCATTTCCTTCCCTGAAGGCTGCATGGGAAAGGTATGCCCAGAAAGTGGGCCGTACACTAGAAAGTAATGGTTTTTAATTTTTTTGTCTCCATTGATAATCTGATTCAAGTCCTATGCCCTAGTCCAAGAAAAATACGTATATGCAGATATATGAAATTTTACATGTACGTTCAGGAGATTTAGAGACATCTTGACATTATCTGTGGATTCCTTAGGGGGTTCATGGACTGCAGGTGAAGAAGGCTTCTTCTAAAGAGTCTTTAAAAGTCACTGTTGGGGCTTCCCTGGTGGCGCAGTGGTTGATAGTCTACCTGCCGATGAAGGGGACACGAGTTTGTGCCCCGGTCCGGGAAGATCCCACATGCCGCGGAGCGGCTGGGCCCGTGAGCCATGGCCGCTGAGCCTGCGCATCCGGAGCCTGTGCTCCGCGATGGGAGAGGCCACAACAGTGAAAGGTCTAAGTACTGCAAAAAAAAAAAAAAAAAAAAGTCACTTGTTTAGTGTTTGTTCTTGCTTGCTTTTATCACAGCCAGACAGGAGACAAATTGGAATGGGCTGTGCAAGCAAAAGTGCTCTCTGTCATTATCCCCGCGGAGAGTGTGCTGAGTGACAGGGGAGGAGGATAAGGCCTCTCACATTAGTTGAGAAAATATCTTTGTTTTGACAAGTGTGGCATTTTGAAAGTGACAGGGTTTCGTTGTCATCGTCATTGTCATCTCCCTTCTGACCACCCAAAAAGTTGATTTCGCAAAATCAATTCAGGGCCAGGGGAGCTTCCCTTCAGCCCTGAAACCCACCACTTCTGCTGGCCGACCTGGGCTTAAGGTGGGAGAGAAGACGCTGGATTTTTCCTTACAGGAAAAAGTTCTACACAATCAGGTTGTTCTGCATTAATTAAGCAATTAATTAATTCTTAGAACAGTTGAGTGTATTTTCAATAAAAGGATGGTGCCTTTTGTTGATAGGGAACAACTCAGGTTCTTCCTCTTCTTCTTTTCCTTCCTCTTCTCCTTTCTCCTGACCCGCGCCCCCCCTTCTTCCTTTTTGTTTTCAGGGCGAAGCTCCTTTCGTATGACCCACGATCCTTTGTTCTCCTTTGTATGTAGTGCTGTTTAAGACGAACACAGACTGATGAAGGTACATCAATGACAAATACTACTTGAGTCTAAATGCTGAACTCTGGCAACCCATTTCGAACAGGTCCGGGATCGACGGCTTGACCTTCCTTCACTTGCTTCTGGTGGTCTGGATGCAACTTGCAAAGTTCAAAAGGACCCCTTGGTGGATGGGACCCCTCCTCTGGCCGGCAAAACCCTTGCTAGTGCCAGGAGTAAATGCAAATGGATGTGAGGCTTTCCTCATTTCAATTTCTTACCAGAAATTTAGGTTTTTAGTCCCTGACTTTAAAGAATATCTTAAAGATATTTAATATTCTTTAGTCTTTAAGGTAACTGGAACCAGGAGCACATTGACCTTGCACCTTTGAGAAGGTTACAGAGAATATGAAAAATAGCGCAAAAGGAAGCAACTCACTGTTTTGGGGCTAACAGTGTGACCTTCTCAACCATTCTGGCTCTTGCCAAAGCAGGGAACTTGCCCCCAGACCAAAGCTTCTCTGAAGCTTCTGCTGCTGGCTAGACCATTAGGATGGTCTCAGTGTTCAAGAGGATTATTGCCCCTAATTGTCAAACTTGTAGACAGTAAAGGGGACCATTGCAATAATAAGACAACTTATGAATGTGGTCCAGCCAGCACCAGCACTCTTGATTATTTCCGTGGGGAAACAAGTTATCTAGAGCAAAAGATTGGTACAGTACTTCTGGTGTTCAGTACACAAATAATTTCAGCAATTAACTTGATGGCCTTCTTGAATATTTTTCAATTGCTGTTGTTCCTAATTACAGCTTTAAATATTTTGAAACAATTCACTAACTATAGAGCAATATATATTTATGATGATATTTCATTTTATGAAAAGTAGTATTACTAAATATGACCAATTCACCTCCTTCCCCCCATCCATTGGCAAGCATCCTTCCCTCCCCACCCCCCCCACCCCACCCCACCCCCGCTTTTTTTTCTGTTTTACTTTTAGCTCTAGAATAGAGTAACTTTTATTTATCAGTAAAATTTAAACCTTCTTTAGCATTAAAAAAAAAAAGTTACCCCGTGGCTTTAAAAACAATAGGATTTAGCTCCTGAATTGTCAAGTTAATCAGCAGTGGCTAAACAGATAGCAGAGGGAATGTGATATAATTGGAGGCTAGAAAAGAGTAATGCTTTGGGTATTTACTACCTCCCTCCCTTAAAGAAATACGACAATCTATGGACTTTTCTCTTTAATAGTTGTTCAGAATTGGAAGTGTTCTCTCATATTTGCTTCTAGCCCCCAACAAGAGATCACATTTGGCTTATTAAAACATCAACGATGTCCAAATGATTGTATTTTTACCTTTAACAAATTATATCTGAAATTTTTTGCGGCAATAAGACTAAAGATAACGCTCAACTTTTGGAGGGATCTCTGCTTCAGTAGGGGCAACATGTTTGTGTTACTTCTGTCAAAATGATTTTACCTCGGGCTTCCCTGGTGGCACAGTGGTTGAGAGTCCGCCTGCCGATGCAGGGGACACGGGTTCGTGCCCCGGTCCGGGAAGATCCCACATGCTGCGGAGCGGCTGGGCCTGTGAGCCATGGCCGCTGGGCCTGCGTGTCCGGAGCCTGTGCTCTGCAACGGGAGGGGCCGCAATAGTGAGAGGCCCGCGTACCGGGGGAGGGGGGGGGATATTTTACCTCAAGTGATCAGTCTCACAGGATCGTGCTTATTGTAAACATGTTTTTTTCCCAGCGATCTGTATCCTGCTGAGTGTCTGACAACTCCACCGTTGATGAGGGTGACGGTTCCTCGATGGTGGTGATTGAAAAGATGAGGGTCTGAGTCCTTCATCTGGTGGTATTTGAATTTCACTGAGTGGGAGGAGAGAAGGAATGATGAACAGATACTGGGGCTTCAAGCAACCACGAGGTGTGGCTGTGTTAGAGATGTGTCAGGCACACTGAACGTTTTCTGGGTGGTGGCATCTTACTAAAACCATCCAAGGGACTACGGGTTTAAATCAGAGACAAATGCAGTCTGTAGGGAAGGATTGTCTGTGAATATCCTGTTCATCCTTGTCCTGGTTTCTGGCTTGTTCTCCCGGTTTGCCCCGCCTGAGGCTGGGCCTGGGAACTGGAGGAGTGGTCCCAGTGTGTTCACTCCTTTGATTCTGGAACTTACTTCTAGTCTCTCAGAAGTGTTTGTGGCATATAGTTGCCATTTTATGATAGAAAATGTACAGAGTATATTTGTATATTCGTTTTATAGAAGACCTTTACATGTTTAGAGACACCCCAAAGGATCCCTATATAGGCAGTGGGCTCCAAACCTTTGTGTCACTGACCTCATCAGTAAAACTATCTGAGCATGCCCTGCAGCTTATTTATTTATAAATACACACACACTGCTCTACGGATATGTTATATACATTAAAAACCATAGCAAACATAGAAATTTACAAAGAATAGTCTCTACTCAATAGAGTTTAGAGTATGGGGCCAGGAAGGCTTAGGCGTAGCACCCAGAATGTGGCAGTTGGTAACGTTGGCGGGAAAATGGATGTAGAATAGGCATGGACGCATGATTTTAGGTCAAGGTTATTCATTTATTCATTCAATCTTTTTTTTTTTTTTTTTTTTTTTTGCCATGCCGCACAGCACGCGGGATCTTAGTTCCCTGACCAGGGATGGAACCCGTGGCCCCTGCAGTGGAAGCGTGGAGTCCTAACCACTGGACCTCCAGGGAATCCCCCATTCATTCATTCTTAAAACAGGCATTTTTGGTTAGGAGAAGCAAAGAGTGAATAATTAGATATGACGTTTACAAGAGCTCTTTTAAATTCTGTTTTTGGGACCACTTGATCTAGAACGTCTTGTCAATTCCTGCAAGATTTCCCAGGACACTGATTTAAGCAAAACAAGAAAAGAAAGGAGGGGAAAAATCCCCATTAATGCAGATGCTGGCTCTAATGCCTGAGAATTTCTGAATCTGAAAAGCAAGTTTTGATAATTCCTGGTAATCATCATCTCACTGATTATGTGTCTTTTTTCTTTCCTTCTTTCTTTTAATAGATCTTTATTGGAGTATAATTGCTTCACAATACTTAGTTTCTGCTGTACAACAAAGTGAATCAGCCATATGCATACGTATATCCCCATATCCCCTCCCTCTTGCGTCTCCCTCCCACCCTCCCTATCCCACCCCTCTAGGGGGTCACAAAGCACCGAGCTGACCTCTCTGTGCTATGCAGCTGCTTCCCACTAGCTATCTATTTTACATCTGGTAGTGTTCATATGTCCATGCCACTCTCTCACTTCGTCCCAGCTTCCCCTCCCCCCACCCCACGCCCTTTCTTCTATTTGTTTATTACCCTGTGTCTCCAAACGTGTGGAAGATGTACGGATTTATTTTCAGATATCTGAGATAGGAAGGACCAATGTTGGTGTGATTCAAACCCACATTTCAGCTGCTAGGGGGCTAATGGGTGGACACTGCCTGGAAAACATTTACCTGCCCCATCTGTTTTGCGAATACAATGAATAACATCTTGCTGAACGAAGGCCTCGCCGTGGAGGTGTTTATTTCTGGACCTATGAGTTACGTTAGCAGTTATTGTTAGTAGTTTATAAAGCCATATTTAAACTTGTACACTTGACTGTAAGATAGATTGGAATTGTGCACTATGTTGATTACTGTATATAAATGTGGAAATTCTGTATATTTGGTCTTAATGCTGTATGTATTTGATGTGTAAATGATAACTAATGGATATGAAATAGCTGGCTGTGAATGTCTTTATTCCAATTCACTTCTCTTTTGCAAATTTGAATGTTTAAACTTTACACCCATGGGGAAAATCTGAGATTTTTGCATCTAATATACTGTTAAGTGGTGGTCTCAGATGATTGGGAGAATATTTTAGTCGTAAGGCTCTTGTATAATTAGAACAGAGGTAATGAATTTTTTAGGCATTATGACTTTCTGATAGAATTTTAAATGAATGTTTTTTAAGTAGAAAAACAGGTCTCTGGATGACGTTGTCTTTACTCTCCTGCCTTTGTTTCATGTCCAGTGTTCCCGTCGGAGCCCTGTAAGGACTGATGTCCACTGGCAGAGAGAATAAAAATAGGTAGAGAGACTGGAACATGTGTGAACCTCTACTGTGGCGTCTGGGCCTGATGATAGACCAATTTTCCTTCTATATAAATATGTCTCAATTAGTTTTCCCAACTGTTCAGTGAAGTAATTCTGATTCCCATTTTGCAGATGAGGAAAGAGGCTTGGGGAGGTAAATTAGGACAACGTGGATGAGATGCTCAAGTTATATATATTGGGATCAGAGATTCACAGCGAGGTTTTAGAAACACAAATCTTATTACCGTTTCACACACACGTGCCTGGCAAGGAACCGCGAAGGATAGCTGGGCCTGTGGGCATTTCAGGATGGGTAGAGACATCGGGGATGTTTGAAATCTGATCTACAAATTTGACCAACTATTATTCAAATGTTAGCTTCTTACCATGTAGAGCAAATTACATTAAAATCCCCAAATCCCAAACTCCCCCAAATATGGGGATATCTATTAAGTAACAAATGAGAGAACCCCCTAATCCCACATTCTAGAGATAATGGTTTGGTTTTTATCCTTTTAGAACTCCTTTCTCTCTTGACCTATAAATCCTAACTATTCAGCTCTGCTTGTTAATAACACAGATGCCGACTGGAAATGCTTTGGGGCAAATCTATTATATATCTACTTCTAGAACATGTGTGAGGTCTTACCCTCAAGCTTGGTGTCTGTACCTTTATGGAAGCTTTATTCTCCTTGCTTTCAGGAGGAAGGGGGTTGTTTGCCCTTCCAACGCGCAGTGCTCTCAGAAGTGTTAAGAGAAATACTTTGTGAACAGTTGTACCGAATATTGCATGAAGCCATTTTTCACATTTTTGTCCTTCTTTCCTTTTAGGGCAGAGACAGCATGGTCGGCCTCCTGTTCTCTCAGGGGCTACCTGTGTTTTTTGTAGATGGTGCCACTGTCAGCACCCATGAAACGCTGCCCAGCTGGGCTGGTACTCATTAGCAACAGACTTTTAAACTCTGCCAAGGTTAAAGTAGCTTATCCTCCGGATGAAAGGGGACTTTGGAAAACAAAGAGGAAAGAGAACCAGATTCCTTCCTCACGGGAATGACTGCATTGCTGCCCTGTGTGGCTAAGAGGTACCTGGTCGGTTTCAGTGATGGTGTTCTTATTGTGAAGACATGGGGGTCATCTCCGGGTGAGGGACCATCAGGGCTGGAGTTTACCTCCCTGGGTGTTTGGCCTGGGGGAGCACACTGGGTAACTCGTGCTCCGCACGTATCCAGGAAAACCCTGATTAAAACAGCATCCCAGGCAGCCTTGAAAGGGAGGAGACTTGAGGAAAGGTCTGAGTGTGGGAGACAGCAGCCCCGGGCCTCTTCCCAACCCTACTGTGTCCTCGGATTTATTGTGTGGAAGCCCGGCTGCTGCTTCCCCACCCTCACAAGGCTCCTCCAGCTTTAGCTGGTGCATTCCAAGGAAAATAGCAGAAATTTTATGGGCTGCTCAGGGGTGTCAATAGTCCCGATTCACCGGTGGCACAAAAATGGGAAGGGGGGTAAGTGGGGAGGAAGGACTCGGGGCCAGACTGTTTGGAAAGTCATCCCTTGGGCGGTAAGGAGGGTTTCTGAGCAGGGGACTAATGTGAGGAAAGAATATTTAAATAAGATTCACTAATGACAGCCTGGATGCAGGACCAGTCAGAGAAGAGGCTGCAGCAGAGCAGCTGGACCTGATCTCAGTGGCTCAGAAAGAAGTTATGGGTGGGAAATGAGGACAGGGAGGGGAAATGTGGGTGTGGGGAGAGCAGCCACCATGCACAAGGACACACCGAGAGCCCCGGATGTGGGGAGCCCCGGGGGAAGGTAACGCTGGGAGATTGGTTTCATGCTGCTGCTGCTGCCAGATATGGGAAAGATGGAGGAGGGGGAACTGATTTGAGGGAAAAGCAGCGTTTGGTGTGAGCCACCTTGAATTTGAGGAACCAGTAGGAGATGCAGGATGGGAACTTGTGAAGGGGTAAAAGTGAAAACACAGCCCCCGAAGGGATGGCTGAAGCAAACGGGCTGGAGAGAGAATCAAAATTATTGGCACCTTGCATTTGCATAATGTATATCTTTGAGATACTGTTAGAGTCAGTAACACCCGGACCGCATCACTTACCATCTTCGTTTACAAAATGAGGATCTTACAGGTTGATCTTTAAGAGAGCTTCTGGCTCAAATCTCCTTTTATCCTTCCCTGAGGCAAAAAACCACTTCTCTGCCAACACTGATTCCACCTCCTGCTTTGCTGATTCTCAAGCGCTAGAGGAGTTTTTTTTACCAAATCAAATAGTAATAGCGAATTAATTAATATTGATAATGTTCATATCAACTCTAACAATATAATTATAATGTAATATATAATTATTATACTATATTAATATTAATAATAGCTAATTAATTAATTAGCACCATATTAATTCCTGTGTACCAAGCGCTGTGTTCTTAGCAGCCTACTTCTACTTACTCATTTGCTGTTCACCACAACCCTGTGAGGTTCTGTCATTCATCATTATCCTCATCACCACACCTTCATCCTCGTCATCACCATCATCACCATCTCTAGTTTACAGATGAGGAAACCAAGGCAGAGAGAGGTTAAGTAACTTTCTCTAGTCTCTGCCAGGTGATCGGCAGAGCTGTGGTTTAAATGAAGAGAGTCTGAGTTTGAGTCCAGCTTTAACCTAAGTGTCCATCGACAGATGAATAGATAAAGAAGATGTGGCACATATATGCAATGGAATATTACTCAGCCATAAAAAGAAGGGAAATTGAGTTATTTGTAGTGAGGTGGATGCACCTAGAGTCTGTCATACAGAGTGAAGTAAGTCAGAAAGAGAAAAACAAATACCGTATGCTAACACATATATATGGAATTTAAGAAAAAAAATGCTTCTGAAGAACCTAGGGGCAGGACAGGAATAAAGATGCAGACGTGAGAATGGACTTGAGGACACGGGGAGGGGGAAGGGGAAGCTGGTACGAAGTGAGAGAGTGGCATGGACATATATCCACTACCAAACGTAAAATAGATAGCTAGTGGGAAGCAGCCGCATAGCACAGGGAGATCAGCTCGGTGCTTTGTGTCCACCTAGAGGGGTGGGATAGGGAGGGTAGGAGGGAGATGCAAGAGGGAGGAGACATGGGGATATATGTATATGTATAGCTGATTCACTTTGTTATACAGCAGAAACTGACACAACACTGTAAAGCAATTATACTCCAATAAAGATGTT